ACACACTCTCACACACACACACTTTAAAGTTATGGGTACACAAGTACACCTTTCAACAAACTGCCTTTCCACTAATCAAATCAATTCATCTTGACTGACGTGTACCAACTGACTCCCTTTGCGATTCTGTAGTGGTCCCTGAGCAAAAATATGTTTTACAACAAGACATAAAAGGGTAAATGGTACAAAAATACAGCAAGACAGAGAGTGAGTGAGACGGAAGAGAGAGATGGGAAAAGACAAGAGAAGTAGTGAAATATTGTACTCAACAATTTTCTTTCCATTTTAGGACTGTAAAACACCTTTCCAAAAAGACACACCTATGTCTTGTGGCTGATGCCATACTGTACAGTATGTCTCCTGAAGAGTATTGACTATATAAATGAAAAAATTATATAAAAACAAGAGAAGTGGATGGATGTTACACAGCAATGTCACTATAATATGAATTAGGTACCTGTACAAAAAGTCAAACTACACAGCACCATTTGTTTTGCTGTTTTTCTTTACCTGACAAGTTCATTTTTCCTGAAAAGTCCTTCCAGATAGCTCTTGCGTGCGTAGAAATTATGAATGTACTTCCTCACAAAGAATCCTCTCCATCTCCGCTGGATCTGGGATTAAAGCATGGCAGGGTTTTTTTTCAGAAGTTTTCCAACAACATGGGGAAATATAGGAGTTGGGAAATCTGGTACTGTGGCAGAAATAATTAGTTTCATGTAGTAATTACGACTGAATGACTAAATGACTAAATAGGGAGACAACAACACCATGTCATTGTATTTACTGTCTAAATACATTCTTGCCAATGTTTCTTCTCATTACTTAAACTTGTGGAGGGCACGTTAAACACAAAACAATACCACATATAATGGTATTAACATATATGGGAGAACACTTTTGCATGCATGCCGTTTTTCCTCTGTAGTGATGGAGGGACAATCCAAGGGGGAACAGACAGCTGTCACAGCTCCATACATCTAACTGTATCAGCCCACATTGATTATGGAGGCTGCAGATTAGCTAGCACCCACACACACCAGTTGACCATTTTAAAGCAGGGGGGCGGATGTCCTTCAGACTAATTAGGAGATTAAAACAATGGCAGGTAAAAGAATAATCACACTATGAGAAGAGGGAAGAGGAGAGAAGACGAGGAGTGGAGGATGGGGAAAAACAACAAAGAGCAAAATGAGAATTAGCATTGATCTGCCAGTCAATAGATAATTTTAAATAAAGTAATTGCCGCCTCCCGAGTTCTTGCTGACCTTTGTTGACTAGTGAAATCAATGCTGTTGAATCTAATACAAATCCGAGGTGCGGCATGTAAACACTGGTTTCTATTATGGCCCTAATACATTATCCTCTGTTAGCTACCACACCGTGATAAAGACAACAGGAGGGGAGAGGAAAAAAAAAAAAGAATCAAAATTGATTCAAAGGAAGTGTCACAAGGGGATTCTGAGATGATTGTTTCTCCCTTTGTGTCTCCCTTTTTCTCTTTCCCTCTATCTCTATTTACACACTGAATTTCTTTGGTAAAAGATGGTCTATGGGTACAGATGTCCTTCATTTGTGCACAGGATCTCTTTCTCTCACTTTCATACACATGAACAAAGACTATAGCTTTACTCCGTCCATAAGGCCAAAGTACTATAGCAAGACACATAGCAAAAAAAAACCCCATAATTTTCTACTTTATTTAAAAATATTTTTATTATCAATAACAATTTTTAAACTTTTGAAGTATCAAGTTACATTTAATCAAAATTTGTCTCTGCAGAGGCACCATGGTAACGCTTTAGGAGCAGTGGGCAGTGTAGTGCTCAGGCACCAACTTGATTCCTGAGGCCAAAGCCTTGGTCAAGGGCAGTGGCAGGACTGTTCCTAACACTTTCATTCATGTCTTTTGTGGTGGGTGAAAACTGGAGCAGCCAGAGAAAACCCAGACAAACACACAGAATAAAATGCACTCGCTGCACAGAAAAGCCTCATTTGGCCCTTGTGGGGTTCAAACTCAGTACCTTGTTGAATTGCAAACTACTGGGCCACTTTGCTGCCCTATTCAAATATATTTAATTTTCCAATAAAATTCCTCTTTTTTCCTTTAGGAAAATTGTGGTTATTTTATATGGGTAATAAATACCTCTTTTCTCTAACTTCAGAAGCTTCTGCTCTGCTCTACATGGTGACTAACCTTTCGCCCTGTGACCTAAAACAGCTGGGTCAAAAACTATTCCTGGATCTACGTCTCTCCTATTATGTGACATTTATTGAAACAACAGGGTGGTCAGCTTTATTTGTTTGGGTTTCTATTAAGTGTAAAACTTCCCCCCAATTTCCAGACTTTTGCACCAATATGAAAATAGTCCAACCATCTCTGTCCAGCTGAACAGCGACACACCCTCTTCAATAAACACTAGTGGGTTTTTTTGTTGGCCTATAAAACCCTTTAATGGTTTAGGCAGAATGAAACTGTTAGCCAAAAGAGTAGGTTATATGGAATTGTAAAAATATAAGGTTTCTGGGCAATATCCTTGTGTAAAAGTGCCAAACCATCAGTCACAGCCCCAGTGTTATGATTTATGGGTTGAACAGTAGTAGCTGCTGAGGGGAACATGTGATGGGCATGAGCACTGAGGAGACATACAACAATGAAACAAATGTTGCCAGATAGTGATATAAAGGATAAAACAAACATACCGTACTTTTATTCAAAAGGCTTGTTACCAAGCACTGTGTATAAATAAAATAAGGCTTATGGTAAAAAAAGTGGACAATTTTGCCAGTGCACATGGACCAACACATAATGTATTGTGACATAATTAAGTCATTTTTAAACAGCAAAAAAGCATCATAAGAATTTGTTGTGCAACATACCTGATTTTAATAGGCCTAAATAATGTATAAAATTAAAATTGTACAGGAATGTTAACACGATAACACGTGTTAAAGGGCAACAAAGTGGTTAGATGAAGTGCTTACAGGCTGCTTATTCATGGGGCCTCCCGTTCACAGCACACACACACAAACAGAGTGTCCCCCCACCACGACACTCCATTTGCTAAAACAAGACACTGTGGTGATATTTACCCTGACCGCCATCTCCTCGTAGAAATTCATCTTCATGATAAAATATGCCGCCTGTGAACACAAAGGGAAAGATGGCGTTACATCTTGTCTCCCAGCCCTCTGATCTGTCCACAGCAGGCGTCAAAGATAAAGAGCTCTTTATACATAATACATCGCACAGAGGCAGCACAGATAGGGCCGCTGTGGTGGGGAGGGAGGAGGGGAGGGGGCAGAAAAGGAGAGAGGGCAAACGAGAGAGAGACAGGAGGAACAAGAGAAAAAGGGGGGATGGAGAAAGAGAGAGAGAGAGAGAAAGAGAAAAAGAGAAAGAGAGAGAGAGTAGTTAACAGGACTTTGTATCAAGGGGACAGCGGTACTCTCTTAATACACCAACGCAGACAAGGGCCAAGAAAATCTATGGTAGTCAAGCAGCGAGCTAATGGAGATGTATGACGACCAAACGCTCTCCTCTGGATTTCATAATCAATGACAGCACTGCCAGAAGTGACAAACAAAAGGCCAGAGAATATTCAGCGGCACACTCGACAAGCCGCCGCACGCCAAACGTGCCGGCCGACCACTGGGGGCACGTTTCAGGAGCAAACTGGAGAGTCGGCCATAAAAGGGATTCATATCTCAACACGTCTTTTTTAATAACGACAGGGAAGAGAGGGAGGAGAGGAAGGGGAAGCAAGACAAAGACTTGAAAGGAGGTTGTAAATTCAGCTTGATGTTTTGAGATGAGGCTCGGTGAACGTCACATTACACATGATAAGGTCCGCAAGAGCGAGAGAGAAAAAAGACAGACAGTGAGAGAGACGAGGGGAAGACGAGGGGAAGACGAGAATCTCTCAGGGCTAATTCAAAATAGTGCACTGTGGCAATTCTGAGTGATTCAAATTAGTGCTCGTCTGTTTCCAAATGAGACCAAACAGCCTGTTTTTAGCCCATATGTGTGTTGTGACACATCCTTCATCGTTTATTTCAACACCCCTCAATCCCACCCCAGCCATCCAACCCCCCCTTTCCATTTCTTGAACGCCTCCCAAACGGCGGCTGGCAGTTATGCTTTAGCAAACAGTCAATTTACAGGCATGATAAATAGCTTGTTGTGATACGTTTACAAAACTCAATCCAGGGGAAAATTATATGTGAGAGCGTTGGGTATTGGATCCGGTATCAACAATCTGTTCAATTAAGAAGCAGTTGGAGGCAATATGCTGAAAGTGGGGCCTTGTTTTACTAAAGCACACACATACACATATATACACACACACACACCATGCACAAACTCCTCTACTCTTTCCTTCCCTCTATTCCTCTCCACTCTCTATATACATCCCAAGAGTTGCGATATGGATGGAATTCCTTATCATATTGCATCATATTTCCTAAGTGCTAATTTCCCAATGTGTAATGAGTGAATTATATCTCTTAAGGTCAGATGCAGGGACTTAGGAATATAGAAATTGAATTCTAATGCATGCTATCATAACATAATCAATATATCTATAGCCGTTCCAGGCACTGGCTTACCTTCACCATTTGTCTGAAACGTGCCCTTGCTGTGAAGCCCCGCCATATCTTCTGTATAATGACTGCCTTCTTGTGCAGATGGCTGTAAAAAAAAAAAAGTCATTTTGAGAGAGGATTGGATGTGTATTTTGTATTAGCTGAAATGGAGAAACACTGAAAAAAGTTTTCAGATAAATTCAGATACACATGGAAGGTAGGAAATTAAATGGTTGATTTCTTTAATCATATCATATCAAAATAAAAGTAAAATCTGTCAAAGATCCAGTCTATAATCTTCTGCATGCTGTCCATATCTTTGATAAATAGAAAACGTATCACCACCTTGGATAGTATTTTTGTGCTTTTATTCTAGTGTTTGTTTGTCTTTAGTTAATCTGTTTATGCAGAAATTAACTAAAAAAAACTAAAACCTAAAAAGCAAGAAAGTTAAAACCTGCTAGAAATATGGGGGAGCTGCACATAAAAAAACACTAAAAGCATAAAGGTAAAAAGAATTACATTCATGTAGATAACGTAATTTAATTCAATGAATCACAAATCCCCTTAAACCACTACTGCTGTAATAAACTGTGATCACTCTTTTTTTTCAAACAATAAAAAAAAAACAAGTGGTTTTGTTTTCTGCATACAAATGTTAGATTGTAAAGGACTTCAATTAAAAGGTCATGGAGACATTATGCTTACAAACACACGCTCTCACAAAGACACACACACAGAACATTTCTGCTCCTCCAGGCTTTTCGATCATGTCTGATGAGCCTTTCACCCCCTTTAGTCGGCGGCACACATTTGTATTCATCTTCAAACATACTCTAAATGCAAGTCCACTGCGATGCTCTACCTCCAATGAGGCCATCAATTTCCAAAAGGCCATTCATATGCCCAGAAAATCAATGCTTATAGTGGGGATAGCACAACCCTGGAGTTGCACTTAGGCAGCTAAAATTGTTGCTAATTATCCACTTAACGCATTGATCAATTAACTAAAGTAATCTGAATTAACCTACTGTCTGGAAGTTTGTCTGCTGACCCTGCAGAATGGTGCTGGGGTCACAGTATAGGAACAAGCACAGCGATGGAGACATTCATTTCTCTATGTGTGAAAGGAGCACAGAGTGCAAGCAACATTTATTCCTCTAGGCCATTTGCAAAGCTCTAGAAGTGGGATAATTATGAGAGTGAGCTAGCATCAGGGTTTCCCTTGAAATTAACTCTTAAGAGGCCTGCCTGAATGTTTTTCCACCCTGAAGGAAGAAGCAAACCTTAAATTGGTGTATAAAATATTAAGGCTTGTATTCTTTTTTGCCTATGGCATTAGGAAGGAGTACCAAAAGTCTATTTTTCTGGTTTACAGATTCAAATGGGACGAACACACACTCACCACACAGACACATTACCTGAAGTAAGCCCGCACCTTGCAGCCTCTGAACCAGCTCTGAATCCGGGTGGCGGCCTGGTTTTCCTTCTGTCGCTTCTCCTCAGCTTGGCTAAAACACGCAGACACAGACAAATAACAATACACTGTAGCTCCATTATCTCACTGTGATATTGCATATTACAGTCCATTAATATTCCATATAAACAATACTAGTATAATGTACTTTGTTGCTGTGGGTCTCATGTGTTTTGCAACTTGTTATTACCTTACCGTAGTTATGGCATTATTACTTAATGCATGAAAGCTACATTATAATATTCAGCCCAAAATATAAGCTAAAGAGCCTTCTTTGCTAAAACAAAATGAGAAATGTGTCTACTGTCTGCATTTACAGTTTTTGTAGCGAGCAACGGCTGTTTGATGCTAAGTTTAGCGTCATAACAATAACAGCTAAAGCTAAGTACAAACATGACACGCTAGTAGTGACGAAGGCATGACGAAAACGTTTCCCGGCAACGTTAGCTAGCTCATATAATAGGTGTAACGTTAGCTAATGGTTTGGCGTTGACTGCCAAGTCGCTTAACAACAGCCACAGTATTCTTTTAAATCAGAATAAAACGTTCTCGTATGATACATGCCTGTTTCTGTAGAAGTATTCACTTTGGAAGTCTTCAGCTTCACTTTTTATTCTCAGCAGCTCCGCCATGTCTACTCCGGGCAGAGTTTACCTGTTGTCGTGACAACAGCTTCCCAAGGTGTTGGAGATGCGTTCAATGTACCTAGAAAGTAGGAATTTTCTCCTACATAGGACTAATGCTTACTTAACTGCATTGTAACAAAACATACACTTTCAAAAACATCTGCTATCTTCTGTTGATGAAAATGTTCATATTTGATATTCATCTAGATGTAAGATCTAGATTCATCTTTCATCAAGTTTAAGATATCCACTTAGATTATGTCACCAGTCAGCATGGAGTGCTAACTTGCTAAATTAACATTTTTGTTTTATTAGTAATTATTTTTAAAAACAAATTTTATTTAGATAATTCGTCAGGTAGCTGTCCATTTTCTGTAAATTTTTATTTTAATTATCTGTTGCATCCATGAGTGTAACATAGCATTACACATTTTTGTTAACATTTATTTACAGTTTAATTTTAAAGAGGCAAAACTAAGTATTTATTATTCATAAATATTTGTCTTATATACCATGTCCTAGTCTCCAGTCTGCATAATAATTTATAAACACCAAAGCTGAACTTTGAACAGACTTTGGGGCCTTACTAGTTCAGACAGACTTAATGAAATGCACCACATGCCATCTTGTTTATTTCTTCTTCTGCTTCTTTACTCCACCTTATCTTCTATACTGAAGCAACAATACAGTGTAAACAATAAAAAGGAATGGGGGAAAAGAAAAAAAATATCCCAGAAAAGACCTTTTAAAAATGCCTGCTCTTTGGATGCAGATTGTGGATCTGGGTATTGATCTGCCAGCTGACTCACTTCTTCCATCCATCCCTCCTTCCATTTACCTCCTTTCCTGACGTTATCACCCTTCATCATACAGTTATCAGTTTATTTCTCCCCACACTTCCTTCCTCCCTTATATCCCCTCCTCATCACTCCACCTCAGCCATATTCACCTGTCAAAATGATCACCTCAGCAGGGTGTGTGTGTGTGTGTGTGTGTGTGTGTGTGTGTGTGTGTTTGTGCGTGCACTTGTGTATCTGTGCGAGAAAAGATATCTGTCTGGCCAATGGTCAGAGGAAAAGACTGTCTGTATTATAAATTACTCCTTAGAGACAGGCAAATGACAAATAGTGAAAGTGAATGAGTGTGTGTATATCTGTCTCTATGTTCTTTCATGTCTGTGCACCGGCATTCCTGCTTCTTTGTGAGCCAAGCAGTGTGCTTGTTTAAGTGTCTTTTTCCATCTCTCTGTCTTTCTCTCGGGCCAATTTGCTGTCTGAGGGCCACCGCAGTGGTGAAGAGCAGTAGGCAGACGTCCTAGGTAGAGTTATGGCTGGAGGGGCGAACCCATGGTTGCTCAGCCCATCCATCGAGGGGCGGCAGGAGGGCGGCCACCCTGGTAATTACCGGAGAAATGTTGTTGTGACAAGATGGTATGAACAGCGTATGTGAGTGAGAGAGACAGAGAGATTTTTAGAGAAGTGTTGTTTTTGACAAGACTGTAAGGACGGCTGGAAGCCATTCGTCCTGCCACAACACTGATTAGGTGTCACCAGGAGTGTATCTGTGAGAGAACGACACAGAAAGGAGAGTGAGAGCACTTCATAAAAAGACATGCTGTTTACACACTGTCTAATGACCCATTTCTGGACCCAGCCAGACCATCATCTTCACCACGTCCATCTACTCTTGTAATACACTCTTCCATCAAGTTCTTCCCCTTTCACCTCTCTGGATATCTCCTGCTTGCCTCTCTCTTCCTCTGTACTTCACCTGCTCTCTCCACTTTTTGTTTTGCTTTGTCCCTTCTCAATCAAAACATTTTTGTTGATCAGTGAGGCAATAATTCCTTCTCCAGGACTACCCATGTATACCCTCTCTCTCACTCTCCTGCTCTCTCTGTCTCTCGCTCCATCTCTCCATACGGGGCATGTCATTTAACATGCCTCCAGTCACCTCTCACAGTCAGGAAGCTCATCCAACCAGTCATTCTCCATGCCCATTGTTCCTAAATGAGGGCCATATGCGCTGTGGCCAGCACTGGTCATAAAGACACACACACGCCAGTGGTGATACCAGTGTGTATGGGTAAATGTGTGTGTGTTAGACTGTCACACGTTGCTCTGCGCAGTTTGTGTGTATGAATCATTATTGTGTGTGTCAGTGTATGAGTGATTATGTGTGAGTGTCTGTGTATGTGGGCCTGTCTCTGTGTGTTTCTGTGTGTGTCCGTCTGTGCATGTGTGTTCCTACAGCCACAGTGGGGTGCGGCGGATGGAATGTCTGTTTCTCGGCAGGACCAGTTCGGCCATTATTATTAAACATCTGTCCGCAGCACATTAATTCCCCCACTCTGACGCATCCCTCTCTGCCCAGGGATCACTTAATTGAAATCCATAATGACTCTTTCTTCTCTTCTCTCCCACACTGAGCAAAGTGAGGCTGGATAAAATATCTTAGACAAAAAAGGTTTGTTTCTCTCAGCTATTATCAAATCATTGCCTCTTGTCTACAGAAAATCCAGATTTGGTTTAAATCAAGAAAGTTATGGTGACTGTATTTCCTTAAACATTTCACTGTATGTGCTTTCTTGTCATCATTCAATCATTTTCATCCACTGGCTTTCATTTTAATGTCAATACTGTGTGTTATGCCACTTCAAATGTCTATCCCAATATCTAAGTGTATATTTTTTGCTGGGGCTGTAGATCGTCATTTTTAAATATGAATTTAAAAAAGTAACTCCCTTGATTCACAAGTTTTTGGCCCACACCAGTTTAAGGCAAGATGTGTGAATCATAACTACAAATATGTTCAGAATAAATGTAAACAAGTTTTTATTTTAAATGTTAAGAACAAACACAAAAGAGGGAAGTTTGTTTCTCCAAAATGAGCTTAATAAACTACTGACACTATTTTCATCAATTTCTATTGAATCTTCTTTATATAGAATTTGGGGTATAGTCACCCAAGGCCTTATTTTCCCAGTTTTTGTCATTAAAACAATAACAATTCTCCCTTACACGCACAGGACAAACTCCAAAAAGTGATTAAAGCACTTCTAGTTTCAGTTGATGTCATTTTTTTGACAATAAAATGTTGTAAAATATGTAGGGGGGCCCTCAAACCAAAAGCTCACCTAGGGCCCGAAAGGCCCGAGGCTGGCCCTGGTCCTCTTAGCAAAACTATGCAAATTGCTCCTTCATATTCTCTACCTGGGGCTGCTGTTACTTTTTACAGTGGAAATGCTTTTAAACCAATTTGAAGCCATCTCTTTTTCCCTCTTCAACCCATCCCCTCCCTCCCACCTTTCCTTCGTTCCCCATCCTAATATCCTACTAATGGATAAAAACTATGATTGTGCCGGTAGAGGAGAAATATCATACCTTTATTAGCTCACCTATACCCGCAGAGAGAGAGAGAGAGAGTAATGAATTGAGCATTGTGTAAAATAGTTTAATGCAGGGGTGGTTCATCATTATTTGTGGCGGATTGCGTGCAGACAGGGGTGATCCATTAGTATGGTCGTTTCCATCTGTGTATGCGTGTCTCAGTGTGTGTCTGTGTGT